CATAGTTAGGGGCGGCCAGCCTTGGCCCTGACCCATCCCAAATTTAAAAAATGCCTATATTTTTAGTGTAAAAAATTATTTGTAAAAAAAATTTCCCAAAAAAAATCTTTGTATCGGCCCAGTGTCCCGGCTCCACCCATGAGAGCAATGTAGATACAAAATTTTAAAAGAAGAACATGGTTTGTTTTTCATGTGTTTATATTTTCTAAAAACCACCCCATTAGCAAATAAGTTTAGGCTACATATTCTAAGATAGCATCTTGAGTTAAACTAAGCTACATACTGCAATATGAAATTGAACAAAAATTAATGAAATTCAAAGAATTGTATATAAACTGGGCTCATTTAGCACTAACAAATTTCCTTTACTAAAAATCCAAAGTTAAGTCTCATTTAAACTATTGTTTGTTAAAATGCAATGAAATTAAGTAGATTAGTAGATGCTAATATTTGCATCATCCAAACCCATGCGATGCACGTGAATAATTTTTTAGCATAAAGGAGTAGTTGTTTATTAACCCCTCACATTTGTCCTAATTTAATACTCCCTCCGTCCCACAATGAAATTCCCGCTTTCCTTATTTGGCTGTCCCACAAAGAAGTTCACATTTCCTTAAATGGAAATAAATGTTAGATGAAATGTCTGAAATACCCTCCCCATTTACCCCCCTCTTACCCGCACTCCCACTTCCCTAACCGGTTAATCCAAATCCCTTCAGCCTCCCCATCTCCCCTTTCAAACGATTCCCTTTCTCTCTCTCTAGACCTTTCGTTTTCTTCTGTGTTCGTATGGAATCGAACTCATTCACCCCTTCCATAGATGCTAGTCTCCTTTCCTCTGGGTCATCTATTGATTCCAACATGAAAAGCCTACCCCTTTTCGATGTACATTCACATCTGTCCAACCCTAGCCAATCTGAAGATTGTCCCGTCGTAGCCACCGCCGATGAAGAAGAATCCGAGGGTGCATGCTGGTGGACATCAACGGAAACGGATCCGGGTTGGGAGCTAAGAAAGAGGTATGGCTCCCAGTTCGATGACAGTTCTCAATCGGTGGAAGAAGGCGAGGAGGTGAACTCCTTTCATTGCTTTTTCCCAGATCCATATGCTGACATATTTCAGGACTCTCCATAGGGGAAGTATCTCTTGCTCAATTTGTTGTTTTATGATGATGATGGCATTTCCTGTCCTTATCTGATTATTTGTAATGCTTGGAATGCACCTTATGTTACTTTTACATGTGCCTCCCACTTTGAATAAGTGTAGGAGGCTATGTCAGTTTCTGTAATGGATATGGAGTATTTGTGATGATGATGACATTTCTTGTCCGTATTGAATATTGTATGCTTATTTCATTCCTTGTGCTGATGATGAATGCAACTTGTATGCTTATCTGATTCCTTGTGTTTTTACATGTGCTTCCCACTTACACTAAGTGTAGGAGGCTATGTGAATTGGATGTTTATTTCACTCCTTTTACTGATGATGATGGGGCTTGTGTGCTTATTTGATTCCTTGTATTGATGATGAATGCAGTTTGTGTGCTAAACCTAGGGGCCAAACTGATGATGGGTTATGTGTCTTTAAACTTATGGTGCATTAATACCTTTAAACATGTGCCACCCACTTTAATTTTGTGTAGGAGGCTATGTGAAAAGTGTTTGCTACCTTGCCAATGTATCTGAATATGTGTGGCTTGATTGTTACATTTGACTTTATACCAAACATGTCTGCCTTACAAATAAGTTCACAAAAACTTGTACATAGCCCCTACATTCCAACATTGTAGGTTTGGCATATAAGGCAGTACATACAAAAAAGTTGTCCTTTGCATGGGTACATACGAAAAATTTAACAAAACCTAGTACACTGCCCCTACATTACAACATTGTAGGCTTGGCATGTACAAACAAAAAAGTTGTCCTTTACCTGGGAAATCTAAGTTCATTCTTGAAGATCAGCTTGATCTTCACTTATGAACTCAGTTGTAAATGCTTCTGCCTGCATTTGTGTTTCTGGTCCTGCTTGCATCTGTATAAGTGCAACTTTTGCTTCCTCAACCAACTCTGGATTGATATCCATATTCTGTGGTAACATCCCCTGTCTATCAAGCTTGTCTTTCCCAATGTGTTTCAGCTTAAAATGATTTCCACCTTTGTGCATCAGTATTTGTTCCATGACACACTGATAACTTAAGAAAACTTTGTAAGTGTAAGGTGTGAGCTCATCATAAGCAGTTGTCACAACTTCAGTTAATTGACTAATTGTTTTAGGGGTTTTCTGTTCCTTGAGTGAGTCAATAGCACGAAAACCCCTTAGGTCTAACACATTAAGGTCTGGGCTGTTTGGTGGCTGGAAAGTAAGCTTTATATTCCACCCATCCTTAGTTGCACACTCCACAAAATCTGCATCATTCACATCAATATGTGGCCTTGCATTGTCTTGTTGAATGATGATGTTCCTGTTTTGTCCATCTGGCCATTTTTGTTTGATTGCTGACAACACTTTGTGTAGCATCATGTCCTTAATGACACTTCTGGTTACACTTAATGTGGCTTTTGTCTCCATTGTGCCTGCTGGTCTGTTTTTACTAGTTCTCTTTGTTTTTTCCTCATAAGTGAATGGAAAGATACCAATCTTTCCTTCCCATAGCACTGCCCCATTCTCCCCAAACCTAGGCCTACCTACAACTGCTAAAAACATAACTTTGGGAATAATTTTTTTGGATTGAACAGCTCTGTAAGGGTCTGCCTCACTTGGACGGGTGTAGTATATATGTTGTGGTTTCTTTTGATAAAAAGAACCACTTTTCATCAATGTGAATGTGATCAAAGAAATGTCCTATTTAAGTGATCAACACACAGTGATCAATTTTATTTTTGAGTACAAATAAAATTATACTGGTAGGATTTAAATATCCTATTTAAGGTAAATAAATATTAACTTATTGCATTTTAACTTCCCAACATATTTTTATTAGTCTAAAAAATTGTACATTTATTTTGTCACTTTTAAACACTCATTCTTGAATTAAATTAGACACAATGTACTAGTGCAAAGTATAGTGGCATCATCAAAATCTATCAAAATTGGGTGCTAACACATTGTACCTTTTTTTCCTTTTGACCAAGATTTATTTTTTCCCATTGGATTTTGTTACTTGGTAAGGTTTTTTTAGACAACATAATATGCATCATCTAACATTTTAATTTTGCGAAAGTAAAACAATGTTGAAGAAAGAACATAATTACTATATCGCAGTAAAAAATAATTGACGTGTAGTTATTAGTGCATCATACTTCCTTTTCACTTTAGCCGATGTTTATTTTTCCCAATTGGATTTTGTTCATTGGCAACATCTTAGCAAGTTAATAATTTGGGAAAATTCCCAACGCTCGACACACGGGGGGGGGGGGGGGGGGGGGGAATTAAAGGAATTATATTCCTCTATTGTGTGCCTTCGCTAAGGTAATTAATGTGACAAGTATTGAAATGCACATATTTTGCAAACACCCTTGATTAATGTAAATATTAAGGGTAGATGTACACTTGAGGGGAAGTACCCCAAATAAATTACGTTACACTCTTTTCCTTTGCCCAAGTTTTAGTTTTTCCCACTTGGTTTTGTTACTTGGTAAGGTTTTTAATGAGGTAACAATACATATAAACTTTAATGATCAAAGCAACGATCAAATAAAGATAGACTTAATGAAAGAAGCCTACATTGATGCTATACTCCTTTTTCTCCATTAAAAGTTATTTTTTCTCACAGGGTTTTTGTTAGTTGACAGAGTTTTGAAGAGACAACAAGACACATACAACATTCTATCTACAACTCAGCACAAGGGGGAGTGTAGTAGGAAATTATATGTTGTGTGCTATCGTTTATATATAATATGTATTAGGGGCTTTCTATGTAAATTATGTATTATGGGCCTATTGACCCGTACTTGTAAACCTTACTCTATCCCTATTTATAGAGGCTTTTGGTAATGAAACTTTACGAACAATTCTCCTAGATTTGTCTAAAATTTGTTCACCGGTCTATTCAACTTGATTTCGAACTCTTTGAGTTTGGATCTGAAATATTTATTCGTTTCGTCGAATACTGATCTGAAAGAACCTAACTCGATCTATTCATACGTAGTCCAAATGAATGGTCTCTTGTGTATTTTCGGAAGAGATATATAATTTGTTAAATAGGAGTGAAACATGAAAAAAGAGTAAAAGTAGGAGTTATTTTTAAAAATTTTGAAAAGTTAGGATTAGACAAAGGTATGATATTCCTTTGCCTTTCAATTATGATTTAGGGAGTGTTTGCAACTGTTTTTGCTTTAAAAAAATCACTTTTTAAAGTGATTTTGGAAAAAGTGCTTAATTAACAAAAGTTGGTAGTGTTTGAGAAAAAATGAATTTGAAAAGTAAAATTTGGTAGTGTTTAGTAAAATAAATACTATTTGTGTAACAAAAAAAGTAAAACTCAGATTCTAGTTTTTTGCTTTTCAATGTAACATAAGTAGAATTGGTTACTTGAAAGCACTCTATTTAACTTTTTCAAGTCAAAAAATGATAAGCTTTTTTTAAACGTTTGCAAACAGTACAGTATGGGTTATAGCTTGTACAAGTATATGAGAAAATTGAATAGTCTCAACTCTCTCTTTTTGAGAAAAAGTGAAGTGAATATGTGCAAGTACAGTATATTAGAAAATTGAAGAGTATCAATTCTCTCTTTATTAGAAAAAGTGAAGTAAATATGTGTAAGTTTTCTCTCTTGGACAGACAAGAGAATTCAGAAATCCCACATTTCCTTACTTCCAAGTGCTAACCATCCAATTTCTTCTTAGCTTCCCATTTGCAAGGACTAGGCCTTTTCCACCACCTTCTCTTTACCTGTTTTTCTTTTAAATAAATTTTAAGCAATTAAAGAAAACATTTAACACATCACAAAACGATAGGCATGTGATCTGGCTTCAACAAAACTGACCCCTCCACCACCCTCCCAACCACCACCACTACTACATTGTCCTCTTTTCACTCTCTCTCCCTTACACCCCTTTTGCCAAATCTTTCAATTCTTCAATCACTCCCTCAAATTCTCTCATACCACTTTGACCTCTTCAAAAGCATTGATCATATACCAGAATCCCCTTCTTCTTCTTCTTCTTCTTGAATTCTCCACTTTCTTGAGTTCTTTTCAGGAATCAAGAAATGGGTATTGTAAAAAATGTCTCTTTCTTGATGAGTTCTGTGATGATGGTGATGGTATTGGAGGAATTGGATTGGAAGCCATTAATGGTAGGGGCAACAAATACAACTTGGGTTGGTTCAAAGTACCAAGTTGAATGCATCATGTGTGCAGCCTGTGACAACCCATGTGACGCACCATCACCCCCACCCCCAACACCACCGCCGCCGCCGCCATATTTGCCACCTGCCACCGTCAATTGCCCACCACCGCCGCCGCCGCCTCGCTCACCAGAACCCTACTACTACTCTTCACCACCCCCACCCCGCCAAGAACCACCATCACTACCACTGCCGCCATCTTGCTACAATTACCCTTCAGCTGGGTGTGTGATCGGAGGGTATATTCCCCCACCGTACAACCCTTTCCCATCAGGGCAAACGCCGCCACCGCCAAACCCCATTATGCCTTACTTTCCGTTCTACTTCCACATCCCTCCACCGCCGCACTCCTCCCAATCTTCCCAACTATTCAATCCTTCTCTACCAAACTTGATTATTATTACCATCCACTCTCTTTTCCTCTACTTTATTATGTGATTTATAATTACCCTTTTCCTCTTCTTTTGATTTTACCTCACTAAGAAAAATAAAATCAAGAAAGTCAAAATAAATGGCCAGAATCATAGATCTGAGAAGCTGGGGGTGTTTTGGAGGAATTAATGGAAATATTAAGATTCAGCTCTGGACAAGGAGACAGAAGCATGCAGGCAAGATGAGGTTTCTGGCAGATTTTTGGATCAAGTGTATCTGATGTTTGGAAAAGTAGCTAGAATTAATTGCAGTCTTCTTTAATGTGTCTCCTCATCTAGCTGGAGTAATATGTAAATCCCTGAACAATTACTCTCCTCTTTAATTCTTTTTTGACATTAGCATATTCATGATTCAATTTTGTTCAGTTACATATAGTGTCTCCAATCTCCATATTAAATACTCCCTCTGTCCCCTTTTAAATGTCCCATTTTACCATATTGGGATGTCCCTATTTAATTGTCTCATACCTTATTTGGTAATAAAGTTTGTGTGGCTCAAAATCATTCTTACTTTATTCTTACTTTATCTATTAATATCAACCACACAAACCTACTTTTCTTAAAACTCGTGTCACCCTCTTCCGGAACATTTAAAAGGGAACGGAGGGAGTATTGTTGTAACAATTTTTTTATGAATTTACTGAGTATTATAATGGGAAATAAATTTCCTTAAAACAATTGATTTCAGAATGAGAGTACTATGCACCCTCCATCCAACAAAACTTGTGGACACTTTTTCTTGATTGATCACGTTTGACAATTGATATTTTATTAAGAGATTATTTAAATATGAAAATCATTTTGTTTAAATTAAAATATATTATAAAAGTATTCTATTTATAAATTTCACATAAATATACTTCGTATTAACTAAAATCATTATCCACCATTTATTATTAATGGCCAAGAAAAAGTTAAATTGACCAAGTGTACGTGAGATACTGTTATTTTCCTTTACTTAAAAGTAAAGTAAAGTAACGTTATCTTCAAAATGGATGGTATGATTATCATGCCACGCATTTTTTTCGTAAATATCAAGTATTAAAAAGAGGATGCTATGATGTTAGCTTGTTCTTAATTGGACAAAAATTCATAATGCTTAATTACCACCTTATTTTACTTTCTATTTAATTTTTTGTTATTATTATATTTGAGCTAATCTCGTCAAATACCTACGCCCTTGTTTGTTACAGAGCTTAATTTGAAGGGGAGATGATTAATGCACGGGAGGCATTTTTATTCCAATATTACTAAAATGAATGAAAAAGACAAATTTGTGACCTGTTTTAAATTTTTCAAAAAATGTAACTAAAAGTCATATTCCTTGTATTTAATCATGCATTTATTATTTTAATATTCATTTTATATATTTAATTAGTAGTCCTATGACTGCCGACCACAGCACCGCCGGCACCACCAACACTGTCGGCGTCGGCACCACCGCCACTACCGGTGCCGCCGCCGCGACTGGCATCACCGCCGCCAGTCACTATCTCATCACTCCGGTCATAGTGACTCCCGCCTACCGCCCATAGTGACCACCACTCACCGGCCAAAGTGACTGCGGTGACGGTGACTGCCTGCTCACCGGCCAAAGAGACAGCCCACTCACCGGCCAAAGTGACAGCCCGCTCACCGGCCAAAGTGACAGCCCGCTCACCGGCCAAAGTGATAGCCCGCTAACCGACGAAAAGTGACAGCCCGCCCACCGGTCAAAGTGACTGCCCGCCCAACTCCGTCCACCATTGCCACTCTCCGGCCGCCGCCATGTGGCCCCAACTTACCACTGCTGGCACCTAATCCAGTGCCCAATCCCTCTACTGCCCCTTCCCCTCCCCACACCACTGCCCCTACCCCTTCTCATGCGCGCCACATCGTATTTTGACCCACCTCCTGACCCGCCTCAGTCACCCCACCCTACTCCAGCTCCGACCGGTCAAACCCAATCCTCGATCCGCCCCTCCCCAACTTCGATCTAGCCCCTACCTGGTTCCCCCTAGACGTCGCTCCATCGCTGAACCCTAGACGCCGCATCGTCAAACCCTAGCATTCGCTTTCACAAAGAGATCCATATCCCTCACAATCACCGTCGTCAGATCGACGCTAGATTTGAAGATGATCAATGCCACCAAAAGAAAGAGAAGAAAAAGATGAAATTCGTAGGGTGAGCACGAGGGCGGCAGCGACGGCGGAGATTAGTGCGACTGTGCAAGGACGGTGGCGGCGAAGACTAGTGCGACTTGCGAGGACGGCGACGAGATCCATTCCTCTGTTCGGGGGGGGGGGGGGGGGGGGAGGGAGGGGGCGACGATGACGACGTCGAGGAAGGTAGCGGAGGTAGTGTCGAACCTCCTGCTCCGTCTCTACGATCTGCTCCCATGGGGACTTTGTGTTTAAGCGCAACAACGATTTAGGAACGGAAGAGACATTCCTTGGGCGCTGAAAATCGGAAAAGGGGAGGCCGATTAGGTTTTGAGTGTCGTTGTGTCGATCACTTTTTAGTCCATGTTTAATTTTGTGATATTTTTGGAAATCGAAAGCTGATTAGTTATATTAGGGTCATTATTTCTTAATATGAACACATCATTTTCTTCTATTACAACCCTCAATTCGTTTTCTCAATTCGTATTTTTATAGAGCTGATTACTCTATTGACTTATTTCGCATGAGTTAGGTTCAGAGACTATTCATACCAAGTTATTCATAAAAGGGCACTGGGTACACATATGGAAAATGTTGTTTCATTGAAAAAATGGCAGTTTGAACCCCTTTAGCGTTATAAATTAAATAAGTGAATACGTTACGGGGTAAATATAGTCAGGGCCAGCCCTCACAAATTGGAGGCCATGTTCAAATTAAAAAAAGAGGCCCTAAAATACATTACATAATATAATACTAATAATAAAATAAAAGGTAATTTAAAGCTTTATAATGATAATAGTTAAATAGAATTCAACTCATTTAAATAATACTTTAATATTATCAAAATGCCATCTTTAATTTGGGCTTACACAAGATTTGTTAATTTTTTCATATTGAAATAACCTAGTTTCTGAAATTTAAAAGTAATACTACGTACATAGTAGTTTATGATTCAAGCAGACACCTGGTCGAAATAATCCAAATATTACCATTAGCAAATAATGAAATAATCAAATAAAGAAAAAGTAGGAACTAAAACACCTGGTCGATGAGTTTAAGGGGGAAAAATCAATTGTTGGGCATTGAACGCTCGAAGCAGGGCCCCTGCGTTCTTGGTGTCCTACTGCCCTGATCGACTGAAGGTCTGAACTCTGAAGAACTAGTAGTGTGGTCGTCTTCTAAACTTTGCCTGTCTACTCGGTTGAAGCTCGGAATTTAGTAGCTATACGATGGAAATTAGAAGCCTTTCAAGGTCTGATTTTCTGAAGGTTGAATACAACTATCAAAGTTAATAAGGAATTTGAGGAAAAGTGGAAGAAGAAGAAGAAAGTCCGAACGAAGGATGGGATATATATGATTAAAAATCTAATGGAAAAAATAAAATCGCACTTCGCAGATAATCGTTCCTACCGTTCATCTCCTTGAGACCTCGAAAATTGTTGATTATAGATTAACGATGAGCCGTTTGCCTATTCGAGGTTTCCAAAAAGCGAAGAAAAGTTCAGAGATATGGAGCGTATGGGTGACTATGTGAAACGGTTTAGTTTGGTTGTACTTTATGAATATAAACGATTTTTCTTAATGGGCTAACTATCCTAATAAAAAATGGAGGCCCTCTAGGAAATGGAGGCCCTGTGCATTTGCTCCACTTGCACATGGGCTGGGCCGGGCCTGAATATAGTTGTTCGGCGGCCGAATGAACACCCCTGCAAAACCGATTCTGTTCGGTTCAACTTCGACCTTAGTATTTTTCAAGGAACCTTTAAAATGAAAATGTTGAAAGTAGAAAAGTTTTGGGATAATGTTTTGGAATATGCCATTTTCTATTAAATGTTGTGATCAAACAACTAAATTACTAAACATTTTGCAATCGTCAACTTATTGCGCTAGTCAAACGCGCTAATTGAATCCGCTTATAACAACCCGTTAACCAAATTCGTGTGAAAAATGAGGCATTTGCCGTTAAAACGGCTTTTCACCTATACCCAAAGTCCAAACACCTTCGTAGTCTCGTGGCCTATGTCTGTGTCAATTTTTGGTGCCGTAATTTATTCATTTGCATGTACTTCATAAATTTTTTCCAAAATTACTTATGAGAACATACTATTTTAGCAGGAATATTTCACGCCCACGGTGGATTTCTGGATTTTTTTCTTTCAGAAATTGTAGTTTTAAATTTTGATGGAAGGTCTTTGAAGTGGACAAAGGATTGCAATACTAGGATTAGTCGGTTAGACATTATTGGTTAGACATTATTGTGACTTCTTTTTTGGGTTAATCCCTGCATATTACTTCCTCCGTTCCTATTAAAATTTCCAACGTTCTTTTTTCATCCGTTCCAATTAAAACTTCCACTTTCCCTTTTTAGTAAAGAATTTGTGGTTCACAACATTTCTTACACATTTCTCTCTCCTCTGCACAACTCTCCACCACACAATACCCACTATCTTAAATTGTGTGTCAAACCTATTTGGAAGATAAAATATGAACGGAGGGAGCACTAAATTGAACTGAATTTCAAAAAATGTGAGTACTTTTAAATATTGACAAAAAAGTGATTAAAGAGATCATATATTTGGAGTATAAAACATGTTGTCACTGAAAAAAATTATGTCACTGTGTTTATTGTTTCGTGTCACCGAAAGTGGTCACCGTCAAAATTTCACGCCAATTACGCCGCCACCGTCACAGTGACGCCGCCATAGTGACCCCGCCACAGTGACGCCGCTAGCGTTCAGTGACACCCGACGCCGCCGAACCCACCAATCATAGCTGCTCACCGCTTCATCTAGTGCCCAAACCACCTACTGCCCTACGCCTCCCCATCACCACACCCCTGCCCAGATCCTGACCACCACCTGACCCGCCCCCTGACCCACCACCTGACCCGCCTCAGCAACCCTACCCTGCTCCAGCTCCGACCAGCCCGACCAACCCCTGATTCACCCCTTCCCAACTCCGATCTAGCCCCGACCTGGCACCATTTCCCCCTCGGCGCCTAATCTTCAAACCCTAGCCGCCACCGCTGCATCGCCGAACCCTAGCCGCCGCTTCCACAAAGAGATCTATCTCCTTCACAATCGCCGTCGTTAGATCGGCGCTAGATCTGGTGAAGTTTAACACCACCAACATAAAGAGAAGAAAGAGAAGAAGATCGGAAGGCGAGGGTGAGGACGGCGAGGAAGGCGGTGAAAACCAGGGTGTGGACGGCGGAGACGATTCGTTCCTCTATACGTGGAGGGCGACGACGGCGAAGACCTGTGCGAGGATGGCGGTGACGATCTGCTGCTTAGAGGAGGTCTCCTGACTTTGACGCTGTTAAGATGATGAAGCGTGCTTGGGTGATGAAGTAAAGTGCA